GTCCCGGCTGCAGGCTCGTGCCCCGGTGGGAGCCGATGGAGCCAGTTTGCCAGCGTGAGTCAGCAAGTTCAGAGTGACTCAGCAGGCTGCCAGCGTGTGACAAGGCACCGAAATAAAAGTGCCCCGGTTTGCAAAGGGAGCCAGCGCTCGTGACTCTGCCCGGTGTCAGTTGTCAGGGCCTTGCTCTGCTCAGCTGACAGCGTTACCAGGCTTTAGCACCCCCGTTATTTTTTATGTGGAAACAAAATCATGATCCATCTATTATGCGTGGCCAGAAAGGGATGCAGCTAGAAACTACGCCACACAATGGGTGGCTGTAGTTGAGCAGCATGAAAAAAGGTAGTTTCTGCTTTAAAAAAAAGACTAGAAATACATTACAATTTCTTTATCTAATTTTTTTCGTTGAAGTTCTTTGAGCTGTTGACAAAATGAACTGAAGCAGAAAATTACTTGAAAAAAACCTGAATACTCCGCAATCTTCTTTTTCTTCCCCCTTTTTCAATGAAGGAAGAGCTATTGGAGGCCACAAAGAGAAGGGGAGTGGCATTAAATCTGATAAATCTCTCTATTTTAAATCAACGTCATCAAAAATATTTAAACTAAAAGAAAGGTTGAACATTTCCATTTTCTTAAAGACCAGTAACTTTTCTGGATGGCAAAGAAAAAAAAAAAGTAAAAAAAAACCCCACCATGTTTAGCCACTTTTTTTCAGTAAAGCCTTGAAGGACCTTTACCTTGGTGGACAATAAGATAACACGATGACATGTTCATTTTGTGCTATGCCAATTTGCAGTATAAAGGCTGTCAGTGTTCGATGGTTGTGATTTGCCCAAAGGGTTGAAACTTCAATCCCCAAATGCTTTTCCTACATGAAGTATTAAAAAACTTTTGACATTATGTTACTTGATGATACTATGTTAGCTAATATGACATTTTTTCTTGGTCTAGACTTATACTGTAAGAAACACGTAAAGAAAGATCGGTGACTGAGCACTGGAAGAGGTGGCCAGAGAGGCCGTGGAGTCTCCATCCTTGGAGATATTCAAAGACCCTCTGGACAAGGTCCCGGGCAGCCTGCTGTGGGTGGCCCCGCTTGAGCAGGGGGTTTGGACCAGATGACTTCCAGAGGCCCCTTCCAACCCTGTGGACTCTGCCATTAGGGATTAAGTACCAATTTCTATTACAACATTGTAAATCCGGAATCATTATCCTAATTTTAGTGGAGTTACCCTTGTTCTCAGCGAAATTAAAAGCTGGCATAGGATGTAGAGAAGTCAGGTCACAAACACACAGAAGTATAACAACATTACCCTTTTGTTCCGATTTTCAAAGTCTACGATTATCTTCCTGCCTTCTCGCTGGTTGGCTGTTAACGCTTCGTGAAGGCTTTCGTAGAACTCAGAGACTTCAGCTTCTCGTTTTTCGTACTCTCTCAGACCATAGTTAAATAGTTCCTCGCACACTGAGACAAACTCCTTCCTGTACGTGACACCAGAGTCAAGGTATTTTGCTTGTTCGGTGGAGCAACCTGCTATGTTCCTTCTACCTCTGCAAACGTGAGCAACAAGTGACAAGCTACTGTGATGTAAACTCCGTGGGTCTTGCTGGGAGCAGGCTGCCAAGGACTCTGTGGCAGGACTGGGTCACCCCTTCACATTTCATGCACAGGGTTTTGCTTTCTTAAAGGCATGGGGAAAGCTGTGGCAACTTAAAGGGGAAAAAGGCCTTGAGGGAAAAGAGGAAATACCCACACTTCTCAGACTCTTTCCTGACACGGCAGCAGAATGAAGCGTACAACCCTATCTGTCTTCACAAGTGTGAATACAGTGTCTGCGTAGTTAATAAACACAGGTCTGGAGCCTCCAGCCAGAGCACAGAATAAACTACTGACTTGGTAGCATCGCAAAAATAACGTCAATTTTTCTTCTGCTATTATCTTGGCAATGGAATTGTTTCTAGAGTCTATTGTAGTTAAGCCGTGATGCATTTTTCCCCCAACAGTGCAATGCAATTTTAAGGAAGGTCAAGTTACTGGCCTTGACAATGCTCTATTAATCTGAATGAGAAAAGAAAAATGAAAAAAAAAAGAAGTGTCTGCTTTCTGCTGCCCTGTGTAGGAGCAATGATCAGAAAAAAAGTGCTGGCCTGAAAACTTCACGTTGCCAGCTCTGGCAGGTTGTGAGATATGCGACTCATATCATTCTGATTAGTCTGTTCCTATCTCCTACCACTTCAATTTCAACATGATTTTAGCGACTGCGCTCTTACAATCTAACTGACAGGGATTTATCTTATAGCTCATTTTAAACTTCAAGTGGATTCCAGACTTAAAGAAAGTACAAAGCCTTGATTCTTGAAGGGTCAGAAAAGAAGGCTACCGAAATTGTGTTTGATTCAACTGAAGGAAAAGGAATATGGTAATTACAACGGTGAGAATTTAAAACGCTGGAATCTCATGATCTGTTGGTGATAGAAACGAGTGGTTTTACAAATGGGATGTTTCGAGCTGGGTTGGCCAGCTTGCCAGTGATATAAATCATTTGTTTGTAGCCCTCATATTTCGTAAGATATCTAGCCTTAAAGCTGCGAGTGGTCTCATGTCTTGCAGCGTTTTTTTTGGTTGAACACAGACTGTCTCAGATCTTAGATCAATGTAGCTTTCAGCCCTGGACAAAAGCAACGGATGAAGAGTCCCTGTGGATGCACTTAACTCAAGGCATTACATTTTAGCTCTAGGTATTCTAAACCCGGGAAGGATATGCCTGCAGCAGGTCACCCACTCCAGGGAGGGAAGCCAGTTTGGCAGCGTCTGTATCCTCTGCATACATATTGTCAAAGAGGAACGATCCATTCAGGTACTCCACAAAGGCTGTCTTTGAAGAGAATCAGAGCAATATAAGTAAAATAAAGAGCGCCAACCTGCTGCCAGTCCTCAGGATGTGCCTCTCCTATGAGCACTTCACCACCAGAGGAACACTGGCGCAGGCCCAGCGATACCAACACAACAGGTCTACCAACCAAGGCAGGAAAGCATCCTGCAACTGGAGTGAAAACCATCCTGGTTCACACGTGGCTTTGCTGTTAGAACTTTCTAGCTTAAGGGTAGAAAACACTGTTTATTCTTATAGAAGATATTATTGCATCCAGCCACGCACTGCAAGGCTATTAAGCCTTTCAGATAAGGAGTCAGTGGACTTTGGGGAGGGATGGAGGGAAGAGCTGCAGTTGTCCTCCCTGTCACTTAACTGCTTCCTGCTCTTCAGCTGGTCTGATCTTCTAGAGGTCCTAGAACGCAGAACCAGACCGTAACTGAAAGCACCATTCTGCCTTGGCCTTGGTTTCGGTCTGTTCACAGGACTACAGCGATCTCTGAAAGCCCTGAAGAGTTTAACCATGAAACTAATGAGAGGCATTAACTTAGTGTGAAGGAGAAAAAAAAGTCACTGCTCCATGAAAATGCTAACAGTTCCCTCAGACCTGTAATTTTCTTAATCTCATGTCAGGCTGATAAGATCCTCGGGTATGATTTACTATTTAGCTTTGCAGGGTCTATATCTGTAGTTTCATTGTTCAGCCAAAAGAATTATGTTCCCCCCACGCCATGTGTATTCCACAGCAGTTCCTGTTTTCATTCAAAAGATTAGATTCAGAGATCACAGCGATTAATCCTAGCCTTCCTTTTAGCACAGTCGATGTTAACCTCTCATTAAATCTTCAAGCAGGTAAAAGAGAAGTCAATATGTGTTCTGCTTCTTTCTCCTGAGACGATATACAACCACCCAAAGAAAACATACCTTGTGGTACTCCAGCTCTTTCTGCTTTGCCTGTTTTTCCCCGAGCTGAGCCAGGGCCTGAGCCTCCTCCTGTTCCAACGGCGCAGTAAGATCTTGATACTTTAAGACTGCGCCTTCTCGCTGAGAAGTGCGAACACAGAAAATATTTTCATTAGATGATCCAGCATTGCTCAACAAATCTGAGCATAAGCATTTGATCTTTCTAGAACATGCACCTGAGTGACATCTGCGTCACCATTTCTTTGTGGGCTTTTTATTCAACTACTTAGGAGGTTTCTGGTCCATTCCTCAGCCCAGTTTTGGTGGCATATTACCCTGACTCTGCATTCAAGGCATCTGAGCTGATTCAGTTCCGAGCAACTTTTCTCTCCCCATTTCCTCACCTTTATGGTTGTTGATTCTTTTTTAGCAGGAGGCCCGGTTTTGACTTCTCAAATTTGAGCTCTGATTTGATCAGTGAGTGAATTTAATACGTTTACTAGGGAGGAGAAGGCTCTTCAGAGGAGTGGATGGCAAGGTAGTAGCAGGGGCAAGAACCTAATTAGCTTGAAACTGAAGCTTGACAAACTGAAGTATGCAATTCTATGACATACTGTCTGTATGAGCAGGGACTGAGCTCAATGACCTGGAAAGCTGTTGCAGTCCAATGCAACGAGTAACGTATATTCCAAGTAGAGCTCCTGCTCTGTGCCAAGCCAATTTACAATTAATCGTGTTCTTTGGCTACTAAAAAAAAACAAACCCAAAAGCAAACTCAAACGAAAAAACCTTTCTGTGTTCCTTCGAGCCCTGGGATCAGAAAGCAGTCCCAAGGGTTACTGGTGCGGATGCACTGTCCTGTTCCCAGAACTCAAGAGCGGGAAGTGCATTCGCTGGTGCCTGCTTGCCTGGGTAGTCTGTCAGTCCCTTACTGACACAAACTGCCCAGCAAGCAGCAGGACCACCAAGGCTCCTTTCCCCTGGATCCATGTCTCAAGACTGATCTCCGAGATGTTCTGATCCCTACGAAGGCTTGCGCTCACACTGCTGCCTCTCTGTGGCAACATTAACCAGGCCCCTCTCCCACACGCAGCTGCTGATTTTCACAAGATCTGTGAAGACATCACGCCTCTGACACCTCTACCTCTCTGTCAGATTTGACAGAATTTGGCCTACAGGTTCGCAGCTGTTAGGTGGAGGCAGAATAAACACTGCGTGTTTCTGTAAGCCTAATTTCTGCAGGGAACCTGCCCTGAATGCTAGAATACTGCTGGCATACCGACAGAGCAAATGCTCTGTAAGATGCTGTTGCCCGGTTTCACAAGCAGGGAATGCAGAAATGCTCACCGTGGTGTCACTCACGAGCTTGAAGTCCAAGTACAGCAGGTCTGGAAGATGAGCCACAACAAAGAGCAAATACTGCTCATCGTCGCAGAGAGGGTTCCCCGTGAGATTCAGCGAGCGTAAGTTTTTAAACCTCCTGAGGTAGATCACCTACGCCGAGGGGAAAGAGATGCTGCACTTCCCAGGGCTGGGGAAACACTCAGCCTTGAAATTCGTGGCTTTTATTACGATTATGTTGCACTACATATCCTGCTCTGCTGCCAAACACAGGCAACATTAAACGATGAGTTTCTGATGCTTTCAGGAAAGGAAATACTTAAACTCGCATTGTGAATAAATAAATGTAGAGTGTAAAGAGAAGGCGGATGGGGTGGACAAATCACGGGTCTTAGGTTGGTAAGCTGCCCTCAAAAGAACCCCGAATAAATCCTAGTCTCCACTCCCTCCTTTTCTCATGTGTAGTTACATATTCCTTCTCTAGCTTTCATGGGAACCAACAGGAATTTTGCCGTGGCTGGTAGCAGTAACAGAACCAGGCCCCCATGAGTCAATAAATTAAAAGAGAAATAGCTCTAGTAAGCACTTAACACCAGGACAGCTTACTGAAACCATAACTTAGACAACAGAGACAGAGAAATCCTGAGGAGAATTTTCTCCTCGAAGGAGAGGCTGGGACACAGCGGCAACTGTCATTTTTAGATTCTTTGATCCTTTGATAGGGAACTTTTGGAAAGACAGGGAGCACTCACATCTTCCAGAGTGGTCAGGTTATTCTGTCCGATGGAGAAAATCTGCAGCTCTTGCAATGTGTCCATGTGCTCGATTTTAGATATTCTGTTATTGTAGAGACTGAGGTCCTGCAGTTTGACAAGGGTATCCAGGCCCTCAATTACTTCAATGTTGTTGAAGGACAAGTCTGGGGAAGAGTTCAGAAATCAAAAGTTTTACAAGCAAAAGTGAAATTATCTCTAGCAGAACGTGCTGATTCAGACCTTGCATTTAGCTTGGTTCTTGATTTAGGAGTTTATGTACAGGATTTTCCTCAGGGGTGTTCAGGGTCCCACAGGAAAGGCTCGGCATTAAGTCATCATTCCTTCACATCTCCTCCTTGCAAGTGTCCATGCAACTTTTAAATGGGAGGAACAGTTGAAGGCAGAGTCCACATACACAACTCGAAAACGATTTCTGCCTTAAGGGGGAAACCCAAAATACAGGAAAAAAGGTGGGGAAGTGCCCTAAAAGGGGGGTATTTCTGTGACAAAAGGGGGGTATTTCTGTGACAAAAGGGGGGTATTTCTGTGACAAAATGGGGGTATTTATGTTACAAAGTGGTGTTATTTCTATCACAAAAGGAGGTATTTCTGTGACAAAAGGGGGATATTTCTATGACAAAAGGGGGGTATTTCTCCCTGCCTTGTTTCTCAGCAGACTCTTGCCTGCCACACCAATGCCCACTGTCATGGTCATTCCCACAAGACTGACCTATGCCAGTCCCATGCTCACTATCACCCTCTTGTCAAGCGAGGTATGCGAAGGCTGACTGATTGTAGCTAGTTCACTCACGGATATCCTGCCAGGACATCTATCCTAACACCTACATTCATCATGACTAAGGGCAGAATTTGCCCTCAGGCCAGTACCGGTGCGGTTCAGGAGCCCAAAGACAGTTGATGAGGTTACCAGCTCCCTGCATCACCCCAGCCCCTTGCATCAGCCCAGCCCCTGGCTGGCCAAGACACTCATGCAGCAGCTGCTGCACCACTCGGCCTGCGGCCTTTGGGCAAAGGAACCCCCGTGCGTGGGCTTCAAACCGCTCTGCTCACAGGGTGGTGACCAGCTGGGGATTCACGAGGGCGTTAGTCATCGGGCAGCAGGACAGTGCAGACAATTGGGCAGAAGAACCCGTTAGACACTTCAAGGTGGGCTTATGAACCAAAGGCCTGGGCGGAAGAACACATTAGACCTTTCAAGATGGGCTTATGAACCGAAGGCCTAGGCGGAAGAACACGTTAGACCTTTCAAGATGGGCTTATGAACCGAAGGCCTGCGTGCCGTTTTCAAAGACGGCTGAGGATATATTTACAACGTAGCTGCAGTTCCCAGCGAACGCTCCGAGCCACGAATCTGTGGCAGCAAGCTCAGATCTGCCCGGCAGCCAAACCCGCACTGCTGTGAGATGCTGCTATCAGCATCCTGAGCTTTTAGTTAGAAGTAGCCACGTAAGACTACGAGGACGGGCACTTGTTGGGACAACGATGACGACAAGCCCTTAAGTATATAGGGGTAAAGACAGTGGGTCCTAGGATCTGAAATACCTGTGTTAGCTTTGAAAACACAATACAGGCGTCTAAATCACAGAGGTGTTTCCATAAATATTTCCGAAAGTCACCTCCAAATACAAGTACAAACCCTGGAAACAACCCTGAAAGCTCAGCTTCCTGTTCCTGCCACACCAAACGTATTAAAACCAGTTTTTAAACATTTGAAGGAATTGTTTTGCAGCTCTGGTATTCAGGCATTTTGACACTTGACAGTCAAATGAGGAAACCCACAGAGAGCTGACAGCCTTCCCTGGGAAAGCTCCTATCAGTCGTCTTCGAGAAGGACTGCGACATCCTGGCTTTATCGCAGACTGCTTTGCTCCTGTGAAAGCATCCGACCCCATATCCCTGTGTCTTACCGAGCCATACAAGGTGAACCAGACTCTCCAGACCTTCTATCTTCTCGATGATGTTGTTGTCCAGCTGCAGTTTAGTCAGATTCTCAAGCTGCCACAGATTATCAATCTGCAGGATATCTAAAGCCACAGGAAAAAAAAAAAAAAAAGAAAATGACTTTTCAGGCGAGGCAGCTGTCGGTTTAGTGGACACGCTATCTTGCGCAAGGAAAACATGCCCAGTCTTACCTCCAAAATGATTTTCAGCAGATTACGATAGCGTGTGATGACTGCCCTAGAGAGCTGAGAGGTCCACTGGCTGGGCGAGATTTCAGTGAAGCAGCCCAGTTAACCCCGGTGTCCTGCACCAGCGCACACTGCTCATCAGCGATGCCAACGAGTCGCTGAGGGGATGCTGACTACGGCCCTGCAGTCAAGGCTGACTTTATGAACCCACGACTAGGAGGCCTTGACCTTCATTTTCCTTTCCAGCTCCAAGAGGGGGAGGTTTGGGATGAGGCTTTGCTGTTCTCCGCATTTGCAGGCTAGCGGTGGCCAGCCGCTGCTTTTGTAAATCACTCTCCTGCTCCTGGGATTCTCACCACAGGAGAGCAAGTGGGGGTCTACTCTTTCTGTGAAGGCTGCAGTTTAGAACTAATCAATATCCCTGCATTTAGCTTTCTCCAAAAACAGAATCACAAGGACAGGCCGTACAGCAAAACATTAGGACCAAGGTGATGGAAAATACAAAACGTTCTCACTCTCCCAATCCTCTTCCCCCGCCTGCAAAGGTTTCCCAGAAGATTTCATTAGCTGCTCTGCCGCTATTGTTTCGTGAGTGCAGAGTAAAGCAGGACTTGCAAGCGCAAAATACTCACACAGTTCTGTATTTTGTGTTTGCAAACAAACACACGCAGGATCAGGTAACAGGGATCTGTCCTAAGGAACTCAGCTAATACACACATTATTTTACTGGAGCATGCAGCGAAGAATCAAAAGCAGTTTTTTGCCCATGAAGTTACATACCCCCAAAATACTCAAATATTGAGCCAAATGTTCTTTCCTTCCATTTTTTGAATGCAAGTTTATGACTGGTTTGACAGGAAGAGGCAAGCTGCGATAATGCTATGGGTGACCAGAGGAAGCCACCGAATTGGACTGTAATCACCGTAATCTACCAAATAGCTCTCACATAATCACCAGCGATGGCAGCGCCTGCCCAGGGTTTGATTTGTCCACGTACAGAAGGGCCCAATAGGCCCGTGGCCTGTAGGTGTCACCACAATATAAATGTTAAATAAGAATAGCAGTGACAATAATAGCATCAAGTTAAGCAGCTTTAACGTTACCCATCAGTGAAAGCACACAGCTCGCTCTGATGAAGCTACTTCACGCAGGTATGACTGAAAATGGAAGTCCAGATGTTACTTTTCACATAACAAATCCAAGCTAATCATGACTGTTTCACTGCCAGTTAGCTGCTCCATGCTTCATTCTATTACCCCCCGACAAAACAAGAAGGAAAAAAAAAGTACATATTCTGATACTCACTGCTAAAACTAAGCTGTAGCTCTGTCACATCCTTAAAGTTAATACTTTCCCTTTTGGCAAGTTTTCTTATGTCCTCTGGACACTGCTCTTCCACGGCTTTCTGAACCATTTCATCATCAATAACGTTTGGCTCGATGCTATTGTAGAACTGACTCATTTTCAGACAAGATCAGCCTTAAAGGACAGAAAAGAAAAATAAATAAAATCACTGCCTGGCTACTATTTCCAACATCCATTGAACAGGCAGGACAGTTCCAAGGAATTAAGAGCTCAGCTGAGCATTGGGAAGATCTAACACCTCACAGCTGATATCACAGACTTGACTTTTATCACGAAGTCACCGATGCGACTGTAGCACAGCCTTACAGCCCCAGCGCTGTAAAATGGCCAGGCACAATCACTGCACACCACGTTTGAGTGTTTTCCATGAAGAATGCCAGAATTTTGGCCAGATAAATAGATCAGGAAGGGAGGCCCTGTGCAGCACCTACGAACAGCAATAGTCCCTCGCATGGCAATCGCCTGTGGCTGAAATCCATCTTCAATGAAGAGGGCGTATTCCAGGCTCTCTGTACCAGTTAATCTTGTTTTAAAAGGTAAGTTTCTTATTATCATAGAATCGTCACAGAATACCAGGTTGGAAGGGACCTCAAGGATCATCTGGTCCAGCTTTTCTTGGCAAAAGCACGTTCTAGACAAGATGGCCCAGCACCCTGTCCAGCCAATCGTAAAAGTGCCCAATATTGGAGACCATCACTTCCCTGGGGAGATTATTCCCACGGCTGAGTGTTCTCACTGTGAAAAATTTTCCTCTTGTGTCCAAGCAGGATGTCCCCAGGAGTAACTTGTGTCCATTATGTGATGCCTTGTAAAAACAGGGAAGTTTGATTTCTAGAGTAAGAGGCATGTATTTATAGCATAGAAAAACTAACAGCAGCACTTCACTAAATATTAAACACCAACATCATGATAAAAGTGAAAATAAATTTGAGGAAGGAGGAAAGTTTATAAACAGTAACAGCAATTTTCTGAAGAAGGCACGTAGCGCAGATCCATAGCAAAGGCTGTCCAGTTCAGTCCAGATATGGTACTGCGCACAAACACCTTGACTTTGGGAACCAGGCAATTCTGTCACTCAAAACTTTCTGTTCTGGCTTTGTCATTTAAATATCCCTCATGTTGCCCAGGAGGCAATGAGGCTACTTATCTTTCTAGAACTGTGCACAGCTAATGAATTAGTGTGAAGGACTTGAATAGTCAAACTTTTGCTTGTGCAAGATGTCCATAATTATGGAAGAATTTTTAGTGTAGGAGGACAGGAAGGATAAACATCTGGGTTTAGAGAGTTCTCGCTTCATCACGGCTTTTAATTAACAAACCAAACGTCTCTATGGCTGTGCTCAGCACAGACCGAGGAGCAGCAGGTTCTGGGTTTATTCCTCCTTGGCCTGCCAGGCTTTCCACTTCCCTTGGATTTGCCCATCACCTTTGTCAGTGTCGGTTCCACAGAGCTCATGACACCCCGAGGTCAGCCCCTCACTGCACCCAGTGGCTTCATCACGGCTTTTAATTAACAAACCAAACGTCTCTATGGCTGTGCTCAGCACAGACCGAGGAGCAGCAGGTTCTGGGTTTATTCCTCCTTGGCCTGCCAGGCTTTCCACTTCCCTTGGATTTGCCCATCACCTTTGTCAGTGTCGGTTCCACAGAGCTCATGACACCCCGAGGTCAGCCCCTCACTGCACCCAGTGGGACCAGCCGGAGCCCAGGCCTGGGGGGTAGCGCCACGGCCCTGACACCCCCCGGGGACCCTGACGCTGCCTGTCAGGGTGGCTCTGACC